CCGTGCCTCAAGTGAGGCCAGAAAGGCAGCCCCCAATGCCGGGATCTGACAAGCAGCGGGGCTCTGGGAAGTCTCTGGACCCCTCTGAGCCAGCCTCCTCCGTCCTTGCAGAGTGCAGACACTTCAGTGGTCTCCAGTGTTGCTGGGAGACTGAAGGGAAGCCCCTTGCAGAGGCGCTGTCACTCCTCCACCACACCGTCCCACAGGCTACTGGGAGGCTGGCTTCAGGACACCCACGGCAGACACGTTTTGCAAGAACACTCAAATACAAAGATGTACACGAAGCACGTGGGCACGGCTGTCCATAGGAGAGTGTACAGGGCTAGAATAATGAGGGTGTTGCAGACGGGTGTGGTGCCGTGCATGACTGAGAGGTGTCGTCAACTCCATGCTGTGCATCTGAGCTTATAAAGGGGGCACTCAACCCCCAAATCCACCTCAGGGGAAAGATTGACTGAGAACTGTGATGCGCTGGACAAGGTCAGTTTCACCTGGCAGCCACTTCAGTGCCACGTCCTGCCCACTCGCCTGCGTGGGGGCCTCTTCTGCAGCTGGTCTATGGACCTCCAGTGTGGAATTTGGTTTCCATGTGCTTCAGGGACCACGTGTCTTCTTGGCAGACACAGGGTACACCACCATGCCACTGACCTCCCGTGCGATGGGTTAGGGGCACCCAGCTTGCCTTCCTCCTTGGTGCTCCCTGCACGTGCCTCCAGCACGAGGCCCGGGTGAGCCATAGCAGAAGGACCCCACCGCACTCCTGCGCTCCCCAGCTCCAACCCCACAGTCCACGCGGCAGGCAAGTCGCATCCCTTCTCATTTCTAAAGGGCACTAATAATACATGGATGCGTCTCAAACTGTATAGAAGCACCCAGGAGAAAACAGGGGACCTCCTTCCCCTCCCCGTGCTGTGCTTGCCATAGTGACAGCGCGTTTGAGCCTGTGTCCTCCGGTGCTGTCCACACACAGGTCTCCATGTTTTCTTTTTTTTTGAGACCGGTTCTTGCTCTGTCACCCAGGCTGGAGTGAAGTGGTGCAATCACAGCTCACACAGCCTCCAACTCTCGGGCTCAAGTGATCCTCCCGAGTGCTCAACCCCCTGAGTAGTGGGACCACAGGCACACACCACCATGCCTGGCTAATTTTCTAAAATATTTTCTGTAGAGACAGGGTCTCTTTATGTTGCCCAGGCTGGTCTCAAACTCCTGGCCTCAAGGGATCCTCCTGCATCATATTTTTTTGTTGTTGTTGAGACAGAGTCTGTCTCTGTTGCCCAGGCTGGAGTGCAGTGGTGTGATCTCAGCTCACTGCAGCCTCCATTTCCTGGTTTCAAGTGGTTCTCCTGCCTGGGCCTCCCGAGTAGCTGGGATTACAGGCACCAGCCATCACGCCTGGCTAATTTTTTGTATTTTTAGCGGAGACAGGTTTTCGCCATGTTGGCCAGGCTGGTCTCGAACTCCTGACCTGGTGATCCTCCCGCCTCAGCCTCCCAAAGTGCTGGATTACGGCCTCTTGTTATTTTTTAAATGCAACATACTAACTTTATTTAACAAAGGTAACAGTTAAAGTAACAGGTAAAGTCCCAGGTAAAGCACTTATCATGAGAGAAGCACTGACTGGAAGAAATGTTTGGAACACCATGCAGCTTCATCTTGCTGGGTGCTGGGGCTGCCAAAAGCTCAGCTCAGCACAGGGCTAGGGGGTCTGTACCTTCCTCAAGCACTCACCGAAAACCCCCCTTACATACATGTGTGTTAAATTTGAAAAAGATGTAATGGGGGCCGGGCGCGGTGGCTCACACCTGTAATCCCAGCAATTTGGGAGGCTGAGGCAGGTGGATCACCTGAGGTCAGGAGTTTGAGACCAACCTGGCCAATGTGGCGAAACCCCGTCTCTACTAAAAATACAAAAATTAGCTGGGCGTGGTGGCTTACACCTGTAGTCCCAGCTAGTCGGGAGGCTGAGGCAGAAGAATCACTTGAACCTGGGAGGTGGAGATTGTAGTGAGCCAAGATCGCACCACTGCACTCCAGCCTGGGTGACAGAGTAAGACTCTGTCTCAAAAAAAAAATTGAAAAAGATGTAATGGGTAGTCCTCGGATAGACCTTACTTTGTTAATCTTTTGGAATAGGTGGTCTAAAAGGATCATGCAGTCTGGCTCATGGATCACGTCGTGAACCCAGCCTAGACTCTGTTGGATGCCAGGTGGGTTTTGGGTACCTGCCCAGAGAGTTATCTGGGTAATGTGACATGCTGGGACTCCCAGTGCTCATCACAGGACCTGTCTGGGTAGCAGATGAGCTGTGGGCCTTCCCGCCAGGGCACAGAGAGCCAGGGGATGGTGTGAGGGCAAGGAGCACGTCCCTTTGGCCAAGGCATGGCTGCGACTGTGACCTCTTACTTTTTAAAAGCCACAGAGTCCTCCTCAGGCAGCTGTGCTGGAGTTTCTTCCACCAGTCCCTCTGAAGGCCTCACAGCGGCCTCCAATTTTACCACCTCATCAGCAATGGTGCAATGAACGAACATGCTTTTAGTCCACAAGTGTGCATGTCTTCGAAGGCAGAGTCCTACCAGCAGAAGTGCTGCGTGCAGTGTATTCTTCCATTTTTAATCTTCTCAAGTTAGAAGAGTGACTTCCTGAAACACCCATCTCTTCACGGCACTTCTGTGCTGAAGTCCTTCCAAAGTCCCTCTTCCAAAGAAAAGCCTAGAAAGGAGGCTGGACAGGGGGCGGGCAGTGACCAGTCAGCTCCCACCACTGCAGGCTACAGGGGGCATGCCTGTGCTGTGGGACAGGAGGCTGGGCTGGGGACAGGGAGCCAGGCCACAAGAAATGAGGCAGAGGAGGTCCAGGAAGGTAACCACAGTGCCATTTACAGATGATGGGGCCCATCTTTAGAAAGACCATTCTGGGCGCCAGGCGTGGTGACTCATGCTGATAATCCCAGCACTCGGGGAGGCCGAGGTGGGAGGATCGCTTGAGTCCAGGAGTTCAAGACCAGCCTGGGCAACATGGTGAAACCCCATCTCTACTAAAAATGTTTTTTACAAAATCAGTTGGGCACAGTGGTGTGCACCTCTAGTTCCAGCTACTTGGGAGGCGGAGACAGGAGAATCACTTGAACCCAGGAGGTGGAAATTGCAGTGAGCCGAGATTGCAGCACTGCACTCCAGCCTGGGCAACAGAGCGAGACTCCATCAAACACAAACAAGCAAGCAAGCAAACTTTTAAAAAGACTGTTCTGGCTGTATGGGCATGTTAGAGAAGGCTGAAAAGAGATAGCTGGGCAGGTGACAGTGCTGGTGACTGACGCAGGGCTCAGCAGCAGGCTGGGTGGAGTGTGGTGTGGGGTCTGGGCCTTCCTGAATTGAGAGGGACTAAGGGACGTCTCATGCCAGATGAAGCCAGACGGTGGTCATGAGGTCTGAAGGTGCAGATGTGGGAAACATCGCCAAGTTCCTCGTGACCTCTGAGAAAGCCACTCTTCCGGAGCCACCACTCCAGCAACGTGGGCTGAAGGGAGCACTGGGGGAGGGCAGGTACCTCCAGGGGAGGCCTCTTGATAGCCTGGTCCCCTGGTGGCATCACCCATCCTCGTCCTCCACAAAGAGAGGCAGTGGAGCCTGCTCCCCCAGGACTTGGTTTCTGTTCTCTAAGCCGATTCTGTCAGAAGGTGAGGCCCTGGAAGGCGGGGGCACGGGCCAGGGACCTCCTAGGCCAGGCAGCACACCCAGCCCTCAAGAATGACCCATGGCCTGGATGGGTCCCTTTCCCAGCCCTTCGCCGCTGGATTACATCTGAAATGCTCTAGTGTTTTGGGGGTGGTGGGAGGCAGGCAGTGGAGAGAGTACAACCAATGGGCAGCCTTCCCAAAAGAGGAGCCAGGAAATTCCGGAGCTGGAAGCCTGGAAATACAAGGAAATTCAAGCCTGGAAATTCAAGTGTCTTGGGGAGGAGGAAGTTTCAGAGTAGCAAAGTCTGGTCCAATCAGTACAAAGAAACGCCATCCGATGGCCTGAGCAGATCAGCAGTGAGATGGGACAGCAGCAGGGCAAGGAGTCGCTGGCTGAGAGTGGAAAAGCCAGTGTAGACGGCATCCTTGAGGAAGGAAGGCCCGGGAGGGTGACCAAGGTCAGGGAGGGTGATGAGAGGGGACACGGGGCCAGGAAAGGCTCCAAGGGTGGTGTGGGCACTGTGGGGGAGACCTGGAGGCACAGCTGTAGGTACCCATGGAGGCTGAGAGGTGGGGCAGAACAAGGGAGGGGAGCCTCCTGCCTCAGCCCCACGAGGGAGCGTGGGACCCTGGGAAAGGCCCAGAGAGGCCTGTGTGCGGCAGGAAGCCCTGGGTTTCGGGGTGCAGGAGGGTGAGGTAGCCTCAGGCCTGTGTGGGGCAGGGAGCCCGGGAGTGTCGGGGTGCAGGAGGGTGGGGAGTAGCCTCAGGCCTGTGTGGGGCAGGGAGCCCGGGGTGTCGGGGTGCAGGAGGGTGAGGTAGCCTCAGGCCTGTGTGGGGCAAGGGGAGCCGGGGGTGTCTTGAGGTGGGAGGGTGAGGTAGCCTCAGGCCTGTGGGGCAGGGGAGCCGGGGTGTCGCGCACCGGAGGTGAGAGTAGCACTCCAGGCCTGTGTGGGGCAGGAGCCCAGGGTTTCAGTGCAGGAGGGTGAAGTGGCCTCAGTACCTGTGTGGGACGGAGCCTGGGGTGTCAGGGTACAGGAGAGTGAAGTGACTGGCCTCAGGCCTGTGTGGGGCAGGGAGCCTGGGGTGTCGGGGTACAGGAGAGTGAAGTGGCTTCAACTTTCTGTTAAATTGCTGGCATCAGCTCCCGACACTGGGAGCGGGCCGTAGGGAACCCCAAACCTGGGGTGCAGCATTTCACTATCAGGTGAATCAGAACCGCTGGCTCCAGAGCTTGAGCCCCAGCCCCACGGGCAAATGGCCTCCCCCACCCGTCTGCAGACTCTGGAAGCTCAGCTGAGTCCCCGCAATTCACTTATGCTGGATCTTGCAAGGACAAGGAAGTGTTTTATTTATTGACAACAAAAACATTTGTAACATAATTCTCTCTTCAAAACAGAGAACCCTACAAAATACACAAAGCAATCTCTATTGGTGTTGACCCGGGGACACTCGCAGCCGGAAGGGGGGCTGGGACTGGGAGGGAAGCCAAAGACTATTTCCGTCTAAAAAAACAAGAAACTGCCTTAAAAAAGTAGCAGTGTTCTACTTGTCAGTAGCTATGCTCTCCTCTCCTGTGTTATGAACACGGAAAACAGAAAACAGCACCTGTGAAAACACATTTCAGCCGCATCTGTCAGAGATGCGGCCACGGGGCATTCCAAGCCCTGCTCCAGGAAGGTGGCTGCCACGGTGGCACTGGGGAGCTCCCTTCCACTCCCCCAATGATGGAGAACCACAGCTCTCTCCCCTCGCTGGTAGGTGAAGAACCTGGGAATCAAACACAGCCATTAAAAACATCTCAGGACTCAGCAGCTGCCACACAAAGTCACAGTCACATGTGCTGGGGGCCAGCGGCTGAGGTCAGAGAAGGGCATGGCCGGTGACCAGACAGGAGCCAAGAGACAGATGCTATCACCATGTGGCCCTAGTAGATGGACTCTGGGAAACTTTTTTTTTTTTTTTTTGAGACAGAGTCTTACTCTGTCACCCAGCTGGAGTGCAGTGGCACAGGCTCCGCTCACTGCAACCTCTTCCTCCCGTGTTCAAGTGATTCTCCTGCCTCGGCCTCCCGAGTAGCTGGGATTACAGGCATGCACCTCAATTTTTTGCATTTTTAGAAGAGACGGGATTTTGCCTTGTTGGCCAGGCTGGTCTCGAACTCCTGACCTCAAGTGATCTGCCTGCCTTGGCCTCTCAAAGTGCTGGGATTATAGGCATGAGCTACCCTTTCCCTTCTCTTTCCTCCCTACCCCAATACAACCAAAGGAGCCAGCACCTAAGAGAGGGAAGAGGAGGTGGGGTGTAAAGAACAGACCACTTTCCAGTCAGACTTCCAGAACCATAGGCAATGGGAGAGAAGTAAGTAAAGACAGGTGGTGGCCAGGTGCAGTGGCTCACACCTGTAATCCCAGCAGTTTGGGAGGCCAAGGTGGGTGGATCACTTGACATCAGTAGTTCAAGACCAGCCTGGCCAACATGATGAAACCCCATCTCTACTAAAAATACAAAAATTAGCCAGGCATGGAGGTGGGTGCCTGTAATCCCAGCTACTTGGGAGGCTAAGGCAGGGAGAATTGCTTATACCCAGGAGGCAGAGGTTGCAGTGAGCCAAGATCCCACCACTGCACTCCTGCCTGAGTGACAGAGACTCCATCTCAAAAACAAAAAACCAAACCAAACAAAAAACCAAACCAAACGAAAAACCAAACAAACATTTCTGTAACACGATAAGAAAATAATACAGCTCAGCCAAAGCCAGCATGGTGTTTAATGGTGGAGCCAGCAGCAGCTCCATTACACTCATGAGGCACGTCTGTCGCTACTAACCCTGTTCTGGAAGCATGCACCCCCCACCATCAGACAGGCTCTGAATAAGACACGAGAGGAGGGCCAGGTGCGGTGGCTCGCACCTGTAATCCCAGCACTTTGGGAAGTAAAACTGGGGGGATCACCTGAGGTCAGGAGTTCAAAACCAACCTGGCCAACATGGTGAAACCTTGTTTCTACTAAAAATACAAAAATTAGCCGAGCATGGTGGCGGGTACCTGTAATCCAAGCTACTTGGGAGGCTGACGCAGGGAGAATTGCTTATACCTGGGAGGCAGAGGTTGCAGTGAGCTGAGATCGCGCCACTGTACTCCAGCCTCGGCGACAAGAGCGAAACTCTGTCTTGCGGTGGAGGAAACAAACAAACAAAAAATACAAGAGGAGAAGATAAAATGACCATTACCTACATATGGTATCGCATGCCTGGTGCATGCAGTGAAGCTGCTGATAGAACTCACAGAACTAATGACAGAGTTATCAAAAATAACTAAAAAACGTCGGAAAGGTGTTTGATTACAGAGAAACAAATAGGCAGTTTACAGAAAGGCCACCTCAGTCTGGAAACATGTGAACAGAGGCCTGGTCAGGGACCTGCCAATGCTAGTAATGAGATCCTATTTGAGATATACCAACCTGGCAAATATTAAAAAGTCTGGCCGTCCAAATGATGGCAAAGTGACGGAATGGAACCTCTCAGACACTACCAAGGGCAAACTGGTACAGCCACTGGAGAGGTCAGTCAGGCAAAGACACACCCATCACAACCAGTGATAGGACTTTGACTGTCAGAAAAGTCAGGCATGAGGATAACTCCACGACCATGTTTCTGTCTGTCTATCTAATCTCTATCTACCTACCTACCTGCTAATCACTGTTAAAGCTATTTCCATATCCTGACAGAATGGAATGCTATCCAGCTACTTCTTTTTTTTTTTTTTGAGACGAGTCTCGCTCTGTCGCCCAGGCTGGAGTGCAGTGGCGCGATCTCAGCTCACTGCAAGCTCTGCCTCCTGGGTTCACGCCATTCTCCTGCCTCAGCTTCCTGAGTAGCTGGGACTACAGGCGCCCGCCACCACGCCCGGCTAATTTCTTTTTGTATTTTTAGTAGAGACGGGGTTTCACCACGTTAGCCAGGATGGTCTCGATCTCCTGACCTCATGATCTGCCCACCTCGGCCTCCCAAAGTGCTGGGATTACAGGCTTGAGCCACCGTGCCTGGCCTGCCACTTCTTAAAAAGTAACACAAAAAGGTAGCTCTTTTTGTGTTAACTTAGAAAACACCCAAAATGTAATAAAAATATATTCTAGTACAAAATGTATAATTCTTTTTGTGGGCAAGTTACATACACACTCACATTCTTTTTTTTTTTTTTGAGATGGAGTCTCACTCTGTCGCCCAGGCTGGAGTGCAGTGGCATGATCTCGGTTCACTGCAAGCTCTGCCTCCTGGGTTCAAGCCACTCCACTGCCTCAGCCTCCTGAGCAACTGGGACTACAGGCACTCGCCACCACACCTGGCTAATTTTTTGTATTTTTAGTAGAGACGGGGTTTCACTGTGTTAGCCAGGATGGTCTCGATCTCCTAACCTTGTGATCTGCCTGCCTCGGCCTCCCAAAGTGTTGGGATTACAGGCATGAGCCACTGCACCCGGCCAGCATGTGGCATTTCTATAATTCAAAATTAAGTACTACCAAAAAATTGGAGGGCGGGTACAGGAACAGCAGAAAGATGTTCATTGTCAAGCCTGGGTAATGATATATGGGTAGTGATCATGTTATTTTTATGTTTATGTTTATTTTTATTTTTTACCTTTGGAGACATTTGAAAATGTCCATAATGACAAGTTTAATAATTAGTGAAAAAAGAAAGTTTCAATCTAGGGTGTGTCCCATGAAATGACTTTAGGAATAAACCCTAAAATCAATATTCTCCGGGCATGAATGTAGATGGGTGGAGATAAACTTCAAGCTCCCTTCAGACGAAGGGATCCCACGAGGTTCTGGTAGTTGAATTTTCAAATCGGAGCCAATAAAAAGTAACACTTTAGCATAAACGAGAATGCACCAACATAGGAAACCTCAGCTTACATTTCATTTTGAAAACCCAATATATGTAGCATACAGAGGTGCAAAGTCAGAAAAAAGCTGTATCCGTGGCTCAAGAAGAAACAAGCCCGGAGACTGACAAAGACAATGGCAGTCAGGCTCAGGCAGGGAACACAGACAAACGTCCACAGCCGACTCCAGCTGAATCCATTCCTATGAACCAGGCTGCTTCCAGGGCAGGCGGGCCCCAGGCCTCGGGAAAAGGCACAGGGACCGTGAACTAGAAACCCAAGCAGCAATGCCAGTGGTGTCCACTATAATTGTACAACATAATGAGCAGTAATCAAAGAAGGGTGTGAAATGTAACAGAGAAGACAGAGGAGTGATGTAATCGCTGAGGCTGCAGAGCCCAGGATGTTTCTGTCAGAAATCTGAGGACAAAGAGCTGAGGATCAAGGCTCAGCAGGTTCCGTTCCCACGGTGGCGGTGGGTGTCGCATGCCAGCCTCAAGCACTTCCCTGTACCCTGCAAAGGGGAACTAGAGTCAACTCAGCCATGAACATCATCCAGTGAGAAGACTCTGGAACCTTGCATGGGTCACTCAGCCCTTCAAAAACACTGATCAAAGTTATGGCTGCCTCTTCAAAATCCCAGCAGATGAACCAGGGCTGTACGTAGTAAACGTGGAGATTGAAAGACCTTCCTGAAACCACTCAACTGGTTCCCCTTCCCAAAATGCATTACTCAGCCAATCTCAAGAACCAAATCTGGATATCTCCAAAAATTCCAACTTAGGGGAAAACTTTTTTAAGGAGTCCTCGCCCCTTGGGACTCTGCTGTGACACTGGCCAGCCCGCAAGGTGGCAGTCCTCTGGCCTGCTGGGTCCTCCACCCGCCCCTTCCACCCCCTCCAGGCAGCTGCTCAGAGCCGACCCTCGCTGTGGGGCCTCCCCAACTTACTTCTCCCCACCCACCCTGGGGCCCTGGCTCTCTGGTGGCCACTCCATGCTGACTGCTGCACTTCCCACAGTCGCCCTCGTGGTCCTCCAGGCTCTCTGCTCTTCCCTTGGCCACATCCCCCTGCAGGGTGTGCGATTACTTCCCCACTGTTACAGCTGGCCACCTAGTCCCATGAGAATATGCATGGAGCTGAGTGGTCTGGAGCCCACCCCTTCCAGGCTGACATGGAACGAGAACGCTTGCAGGTGCCTCCCGGTTTTGGGGGTGGGCCAGGCCTCACAGTATAGCTTTGCTGCACTTCCTCCAACAACTGCAGCTCACCACCACCAGCTGCCACCGTGCTGTGACACATGGTCAAAGAAGGGTCAAAGTGCCACCTCAACTGCTACCCTTGTTTAAAAACAAGGTTTAGGGAGGCCAAGGCAGGAGGATCACTTCAGGCCAGGAGTCTGACACCAGCCTGGCCAACATGGTAAAACCTCGTCTCTACTAAAAATAACAAAAATAACCTGGGCATGGTGGCACGTGCCTGTAATCCTAGCTACTGGGGAGGCTGAGGCAGGAGAATTGCTTGAACCCGGGAGGCAGAAGTTGCAGTAAGCCGAGGTCGTGCCACTGCACTCCAGCCTGGGCAATACAGTGAGACCTTGTCTCAAAAAAAAAAAAAAAAAAAAAAAAAGAGGAAAAAAAAAGAAATACTGTGGGTAAATCAGAGAAATAAATTCAGCATATGCTGTTGGAAAAATGGCACCAATGGACTTGGCTTGATGCGGGGTTGTAGCAAACCTAGCATTTGTTAACAATGTAAACAACACAGCAATCCTCAAGTGCAGTAAGCAAACAGCAGAAAGATGAGGTGAGCTGTGTCCATCAGGCCCCAGCCACCAGAAGGGAGCACGAGAAAGGAAACGTTCTGAAAGACGGCTGTCAGGATG